GCCAAGTTCGGGAGGTGAGATCGGCTTATTCGGCATCATCTGCGTGTCCCCCATTGTTTGGAGCTCTGCAAAACCTTGTCACTCTGCGTGATACTCTGAATGGAGTGCAGCGGCAGCATCTATTTATGGGTGTGAGCGTACAATGAATACCTGACGAACGGACAAGAGAATAAGATTTCGAATTGGCCAGGGGTCAGAGGGGGGAAGGGGGGTTGAAGCGGTCGCAGTGAAGGGATCAAGTGAACCACACGGATAGATCCTTCTGCTGGAAGTTACGCGCGTTTGTCTTAATATCGAGACATTGTGTGCAGGGTGGTGTGGAATTTCGGGGACGAAGCGATTTGGGAGGATTAGCCTACGTAAGTGGTATGGAAAGGGTGCCTTGTGAAAGCTGGTGGAGATTTGCATTCAACCCTTTGCTCCTCCCTTCCAGCCAGTGGTGGTAATTTGTTAGCAAGGGAATTTGACAAGAGACACTGCGAGTATATATCGTATTGTTGAAGATTTCATGAAATAAAAGATAATTATAAATATTCATTTTTCATCTATTCGAACGGTAATATTAATAATTTCAGAAGTTAGAGAATGAAATAATAATTTAATGAAGTAATAATTAACCAAGCATTACAATAATTTTAACAGACTTACCTGCTCGGTTTTTGGATTCCATCACCAAAAAAAAAATTAAATTAAATATTTTCTGAATTGAAGACATCAATTTCGCCAGCTTTCAGTCTTAAATTAGCAGATTCGATCATGACATTTGAATTAACCAAATGACTACTGGATTGATTAAAGACTATATAATATCTGGATAACGTCATATTGATGAGGATTTACTTAAATAACGTTTAATGATGTTTTCTTAAATGCCGTTTAAACTAATTTAATATTAGAAAATCTTACAATAGAAAACAAAAATTACATCCCATTTAGTATAAACTTGAATACATATGGCATTTTTTTAATTTTTCTGTTTTTTTATAGTTAGAAGGAGATTGAATGCAATGCATTTTAGGATATATGTATACGGAATGTTATTATGGTATTGTTATTTGATTAAGTTACTATGAATTAGGTATAGTCAAAAATTAGGTAAAATATATTATAATATTATTAGGAGAAATTAGGTGTAGCAAACACTGTGCGATTTTGCTATGCAAACTGATTGGTTTACTATTCAATTCTTTTCCTTTCTCTCTTTATTTTTGTATTGAATACACACTCACACACACAAACACACAAAGACAAATAAACAAACACAAGCACACACACACATTTATATACGGATCATTATCCGATATACATCATTGGTGGCTTGCTACAATATAACAAAATTGTAAACAAACAGTACCAGTGACATGATATGTTTTGTCACTATTCTCCTCTAGCATGGATTTTATGGCTTATAAGTTTAGGATTCCCATACTCAGAATAGACGCGGAATTATTATACTCGGCATCACTCAGCGGGTTTCAAACCAAGTTCTCTCAAATCCCAGCATGTTATCCACCACGCCACCACTACCAATAAAATAGAAAATTTAAATTTATTTAATTGAATTTGTATGTATGAAACATATTTAATTCCATTACTCAAATTTACTAGTATTTTATGGAATATCAAAATGTATATTATTATTATAATAATAAATAGTAAAAATTTATTGTCTTCTTAACTATTCAATCGAACTAAATGCTAGTGCATAAATGGTATACCGATACAATACCTTCAAAACTGATTGTTCCTAAACTGCCAATTTTACTTCCTAATTTACGACACGTATATATCTCAGCTTCTGGATCGTTTAGTTTACGCCTTGTTGGACGATTTCTAGTACCGAATTTGCATGCGCCCGAAGAGTATGATACAGATATTGATCTATAATTCGTCAGATGTATTTGATTTTTCTATTGAAATATATATATATATTTGTATTAAGTATATATTAATATAAACCACGTTTGGCTTGTTACAATACACCTAAATTGTGAACGAACAGTACTAATGGTGACATTGGGCGCTTTGTCCCAATTTCCCTCTTTTTAAAAAGCAAAGATTTACTGCTGATAGGTTTAGGATTCCCATTCTCAGACTAGACACGAAATTAACATACTCCGCATCACTTAGCGGGTTTCTAACCAAGTTCCTTCAAATGTACCACCCCACCGGGGCCCATAAATTAAAAAACTTTTTTTTTCTTTCTAATACAGCTGGAAAATAGACCATGATCTTTTTATGCCATAAGGGCTACGCCGACTTTACTGACTTTGCAGTACCCAGGGGGCACGTCTAACTTGATGGTAAGCCACGAACGCGGAGTAACAATGCCCCCGCAACGCTCTACGATCCTATTAGGACCGGGACCTACAGTTTAAAGTGGATTCCGAACCACTACAAACACCCATGGCAACGTCGGGATTCGAACCCGATACCTGTGGTACCGAGAGCCAGAGCGCTAGCCACTCAACCAACAGACACCATTACTTAAAACTTAAATTTATAATTAAATTAATTACCTAAAAATTAAATTAAAAAACTTAAATTTATTAAATTGAATTTGTATATATTAATTGTATTACTCAAAGTCGTTAGAAATTTATATAATATGTTATAACATATGGCTTTATTGGAAATCAACTGATTACAGATTTATATAATATCAAAATATATATTATTATAGCAATAATAAAAATAAAACTTTACTGTCTGCCTAACAATTCAATCAAACCCAACGCTATTATTATATAATCGGTATATAAAATACAATACCTTTCAAACTGATTGTTCCTCAACTGCCAATTTTACTTTCTAATTTACGACACATTATTCTCGTACATATATCTCGTAGCTGCTGGAATCGTTTAGTTTACGCCTTGTTGGACGATTTCTAGTACCGAATTTGCATGCGCCCGAAAGGGATGACACACATATTGATCGATAATTCGTCAGCTGCTATCGGCAGTTTGACTGGACTAGAGTAATTTAAATAATTGTCCTACCACTTTATTATACGTATCTCTCTTCTGGAAGTAAACCACATTTTGTGAGAAATCACTGCAGCTAGAGGCTTTAAATCTCTGTCCAACTGATTAAAATTCAACGCCATCGTCTAATCAGAACCATTGAGTTTAACTTCATTAGGTTGCAAGCAAACAAGTTCGGCGACATATCCAAATGCAAAGAATCAATCACTTTGGTGTGTGTGGATGTGAATCTCTGGCGTTGCTTTGCTGTTGTGTTGTGCGTTAAGTTCAGGGCTTAGGGGGAGCACAGAATGCGTGCCTTCGTAATTTAAATGCGGAATTCGCATTCGGCCATCGAGAGCACGTGACCTCATTAGATGCCTTCGCGCGCGAACGGTAAACTTCTGCCGGATATTTAGTTTGTGTTCTATTAAGTTCCGAAGATTCAGTGGACGATAGATTGTACTCGACCTAAATATGTATAACGGTTCTACATTAATGGGTATTTGGGTGTGCCATTAATTCATTCTAATATAGCGCTGCCGAATAGTACCCTAGTCACTCAGCAAATATGCTACTTCACCAAGTACGGAAGGGAATGAGAGGTCTACAAACTGGTCTCATAGTGACGTGTTTGATCATACTTAATGTTTTGACAAACTACCTGATGAATTATTACAAATTATGTGACATTGTTGTATATATAATCCTATATTTCAAGGTGGTTGAAGGCAATCGAGAAAATGCGAAAGTTATTTATAATTCTGATTTAATTTTACTGGTTATTAAATCATAACATGGTAATTATTAATTGTAACCTAAAATATTTATTCATAACATATTTAGTCATAATTTTTAATTCGAAAAATTTAATAAGATTAGAAATATCAACTCACCAACTTATTGATTACTTTATTGTGTGGCAATACTTTTGATGTGTTTTTGATATTTTTTGATAATGATCGGAATCTTTAGGAGCGTAGAACTTTTAGGAGCGTTTTCAAAAGTAATTGACATTTCTCTATCATATATAGTGAAATAAATGGATTCAGTCAACTAATATGACGCACTCATTCATTGAATCTACTAGTTTTACAAAACAATGTGTCGAATGCGTTCTGCGGCCCGGTGGCCAATTGGTTAGCACGTTGACCTTCGGTACCACGACTTTTAGGTTCGAATCCTGGCGGTGGCATGGATGTTTGTTAGTGGTTCGGTATCCACGTTAAGCAGTATGTCCCAGTCTGATTAGTCTAAAGTGTGCTACAAATGACAGTAGAGTGAAACGGAGGTAACGTGTTCTTTAATGAAAAAAAGATTGTCCAATTTTATGATAACTGCGTGCAAAAGAAAAAATGCTATACAAATATTTTTGCGTGAAATAAAACAAACAAATTGTAATCTTTTTTTGATGGTATCAGAAATGATCTTTATATTAATGCAAATTAACAAATTATTGACTTTTGTTAATGTGTCAGCCATTTGGAATTCCTCCTGCATTCTCTTAAATCTAAGAATGTTCATATTTTCAATTAGAGACGTTCCAATTTTCTTTAAGAAAGAAATGACGTTTTGTACCACCGAATGCAAATTCTAATCCAGGCGGTGGCATGAACGTTTGTTAGTGGTTCGGATTACGTCAGTGGTCCAGAAGTTAAACGGTTAGCACCAGTCTAGCTATCCTAGAGTGTGGAAAAAATGACCGTAGACCGAGAAAAAGAATAAATCAAGAAAGAGTATGTATCGCTTTTAATCGTGAGGGTTTCATCGAATGTTTTTTAATTATTGTTTCCATCCATTATAAAATGAATTTGTAAAATTTTGATTTAATTTTAATAAACTATAATTATTAAAAAAGATTATGTACAAAATGGGCAAATTGTCATGCCTAAGTATTTCATTGTACATACAAATGTACATTTATTTAAGAATAAAATATAAATATATTTATTAATTTATAGTGTAACTATGATTTCGTAGTGGAAGTTTTGATTGCCAAACGCTGATGAATAAATTCACTTAATTGAATAATTATTCTCGTTAGATCACCGAAGTCAAGAATCATTGGGCGTGGTCAGTACTTGGGAGGGTGACCACCTGGGAACACCGCGTGCCGTTGGCAAATTTGGGACCTGAATAGCCGAGTGTCTAGCGCTCTGGCGCTCGGTGCCACATGTTTCGGGTTTGAATCCCGGCGGTGCCATGGATGTTTGTAGTGGTTCGGAATCCACTTTAAGCCGTAGGTCCCGGTCTCCTATGACTGTAAGAGCGCCACGGAGCAAAAGTCAGGCTTCTACCTACGGGTGCTCCATCACAACAGAAGCTGCTTCCTTCCCCTTCAATCATGAGTACGTATGGGCTCGTGGGCTTGGCCAGCCAAGTGGGATAAGAAACAACAACAACATAAATTCAGAAAAGAAACAAAGAAGTTTATGAAAAGTCATAAAAGTTTTAAATATCTAGCACCCCAAGTTGAACAAATATTTGCAACTTCTTCAATAAATCATTTCATAACAATTAAGCTAATTCGAAATAGCATTTCTTGCAAAACTCGAGTGTTTGTTCCACATGTATTAGTCCCAGGAATGTAAGCAATAATTATTTTCTAATAACACACAGAAACAAAAAAATAATAAATAAAAGTTGAATCCGCAAAGTTTAGAGAAACCATTTCTGAAGTTGCCATGCCACTTTGCGCATCTGTTGTAATTAGGAACAGATAACGAGAACCAGCGCAATCAGCAAATGCTTCCATCGAAAACCCAATTATTTCGACGCAACCAATGAATGCAACCTTCTATTCTTCTTCTTCTACGAAACCATCCAGCAGCTCAGAAGAACAAAGGATTTTTCCGCGCTGCAGAACTTTTAAGAATTCCTCCAGTAATTAAATTTGCGTCGGAACCAAATTGCTAAGTAATGATTTTAAGTGTTTACAAATAACGTTTCGTTTCGAATATTGCCCTACCTTTTGCAGAAAGGCACCATGGTATGCAATAAAATGAAATATAAATCTTTTCAGCGAATATTCTTAACGAAGAACATTAGTTTTCGAATTATTGCGCCATTTATTTTTCTACCTTATCTGTTACATCTTTTCACTAATGAGATTCTACGATGCTCAAAGATTAAGAAATATTATTTCTTCACCTCAGAGAAAATGTTTGGTTCGTTCAAAATGAAAATGTTATCAAAAATTGTGTGCTTTGTTTAAATTTTTCTTTTGATTTCCAACAATTAGATTTGTTTTCTTCCATTAAAAGAAGTCTCATATATTTACAAAGCGAGTACCAAATTAACGGTATAGATTGCACTAATGATGTGGTTTTGTTATCATTAATATTTATTTGCTGTTATATTGAAGAACATCTCGTAATTGAAGTCGTCCTATAAAACAAACAAAATAAGCAAACAAATAAAATAAACTAATAACTGCTTTAGTAAAAATAGAAAGATATTACTTCTTCTGAATCAAGAAGTACGTATAATTTGCACCTATTATCAACAAAATTACAAATGCCTCCAGAAATAAGAAAAATCGAAATTATTCCTTAATACGAGTTAATTGTCATTGCTTCCAGATATATGCATTAGTTTTTATATCAATATAAATTAATTGTAATTAGAATCAGAATCCCTTTTTTAAACCGTTTGAACTCTCGCTCGTCATTAATTAATTATTTCTAAATATGAAATGAAACAAAAACTTGTTCTCATTTCGTGAAAATTATCTATATTAAAAAACAATGAGCAAATTACCTAAATTAATTTGGTTTTCGAATGTTTCTTTCACGTTTAATTAATAATTAGTGAAGTAAACATAAAATGTTCGTAACGTAAATGTAACTACATAAATGTTCAGTAATTATTATGCTTGAAAATGAATTAAAAAACGTGCTTCTGTAAATTGGTTTGACAGTGTATTTTTCAAACAAACTCAGTGTATGAATATTAATAAAATAATTAACTCAAGAAGGATCACAACATTAATAATTGAAACACTCTGTAGAGAATAGTTCAAGAGAATTTTTTAATGGCATAAAATTCTGTACTTTAGAAACCTCTAAAGGACGTATAAATTTAATAATTAAGACTTATAATTTAGAATTAATTTCAATAGCCTGACATTATGTTGTTCTAATGAAGCTGGTAATACAGAGACAGTTAATCTTTATGTCGTAAGCAAGGGCTGCACAGCAGTTACTCGTTTAGCATTACCCAGGGAATACGTGTAGCCTGATGATATGCTACGGACCCGAGTAACACTACCCCTACAACTGTATACGATCCTATTAAGACAGGGACCTACAGTTTAAAGTGGATTCCAAACCAATACAAACATCCATGGCCATAATGGACTATAAAGTGTTCGAGTCCCAAACCCACTGGTACCGAGCTAACTACTCGGCCATCAGGCCCCACTGCCTCACGTTATATTTTGTATTATAATTGAGTGAATGATAGCTGTTAGAATACTTCTTCTACATTGACGCAGAAGCCCCATAGTGGGCCAAGACCGTCTGTCTACTAGCAGATTTCGAGACAGGATAAGTTTTCTTTTCAAGGAGTCAGGGCCTCCTATGACTGTAGAGCGTTACATTACCTCTGACAGCATTATCTCTTAAAACCAAAACATCTCATGTTTTCTGAATCCGCCAATAGATAGACAGCCTTGGGCCAGGTTTTTTGCGTCATAGAAGAAGAACAATTTACAATTCTGGCAATTAAGAAATTGCAATTTAGTGTTTTACTTAACAAAAGTTTTATGAACAAAACCTTTTGCTCAGATATGGAATAAAAAAAAATTTATGGATTCAGTAACTATAACAAGCATTTATTAACAATCCTATGAAAATAACCACATAGGTTTCAAAAGGCAAAGCAAAGTCTATAAAACGAGGTTTAATATATGTTAGTTATATCTTTTAACAATATACATGTTAATGTACATAATTTTCCGACTTAGACAACTTTGATATATTGTTGGTGCGTATTGTAAAGAAAAATTCTATTCGTAGCAAGCCTTTATTTATAGTCCGATGTAAAACCATGCATATTTCAAAATATAACGCGAAGTCTGTAAAAGGAGGTTTAGTATATGTTAATTATATCTTTGAATAATATATATGATAATGTTCATAATTTTGAGATATGAACAACTCTGAGAGATTGTAGCTGTGTATTGAAAAAAAAATGTAATCGTAAATATAAAAACACGTATTAAAAAAAAAGATGAACTGATATATTGTATTAATTAAGTTTTCATAAAAATAATTGGATCTTTTTTTTTAGTGGAGCATTGATTTAAGATTGCTGCATTTATTATTTTTTTCTTGGTATAATTTTTTTGGCTTAGCGAGTTTTGTTATTTTGATCATTATTTCTTAACGAAAAAAAATGACTAGCTTTGTCGAACAGCGTTGTCGCACGAAACCAGCCTTTTTTTTCTTAATGCAAAACTCCAATTCGGTTTTTTTTTCTATCATGAACACTCTCCATTTTAAGCGCGAATATAAATTCCCTACTGCCATAAACCTAATGGAAAGAGTTCAATAAAAAAATGGATTCCCCTACAATAGGCCTAACTATGGGCGGGAATTTTATGGGAATACAGCTCTGTTGGGACATTAAATTTCTATTTTATGTGGGTGCAGATATTTCTTGTGCCCTTTTTAAAGGCGACATTTATTGTGGTTTCCCTAACACATTGCGGTGGTGTTTTCATCTTTTTTTCAAGTAAATACTGTCATGTACAACAAGCAGTAAAAATCTTTAGATGTATATACATATTTGTTTTGTTCTCTTTAGTGGACTGCATTCTCGCATGGCATAAAAAAAAACAAACCCAAAGTTATCATTGTTATTGGTTTTTATGAGTGTAAGCGAAACTAAAGATTTGTATGAACAAGCATTTTAGATTAGTCGTTTGTTTTATTGAGTGAGCGAATGACCGAATTCTGAGATACCTAGTCCTTTACTTCGGGGAATAAATGTTTAATATCCGCTGCTGGTTAATTTTTGGAGTGATTTATTCGCTGGGTGGTTTTTATCAGGGAATTTTAATTTGGTGTTTGTGGCTAAAATGTAATTACAGCACGACCTTTTGTCGCTTTCTGTTTTAGTTATAAAAATCTGGTTTTATGTTAATGAAGATATGCGTGAAGTGTTTAGTGCTCTGTACGCCAATGTACGGTTAATATTAGGGACATTACTTCAAAATTCTCCAGTAATTACGGTATAAAAATAAAGATATATGAAACTTGCATGTAGCAATCACAACGCAAGCATCAAATTTTTCAATTATAATTATGGTTTAAAAGGTCTCATACTTTCAAAATAGTTTCTATTTTTTCTGTCATGTATATGTATATATACGTATACATATATATATATGTATACATATATATATATATATATGTATACACATGTACATATACATATCTATAGACATACATATACACATACATACCTATAAAAACATATACACACATATATATATATACGGACATACATACGCATATATATAACTAGACATACATACACACAGTTTATTTGTTTCTATGGTTTAAAATCTACTGGAGATTAAATTAAATTTATATATATTTAAAAATATATTTTATCAAAATTTTTGTTGGCTGAATAAATAAATAACTTATCACTCTAATAACAGCATCAAAATCGGATTTTAACATTTATATTTCCTCTCTAAATAATTATGTGCTGTTTAATAAAATTTGCTAATTGTATTATTTCTGTCACTCTTTTTACGGTCATACAATATACATCAACTCTATAACCAAATACTTTTGATATTTACTGAACAATACATCATTCCAGAAACACGGCGGCTAAAGAAAAATAGCACATGAATTATAATTTATGCAAACAGCTGCAGGAAATATTTTGAAAGGGTAATGTTATTTACGACGACAGACCCAAGTTATTGTTGCGTACTCCAAATTATGCCCGTTTCCATTTCTCAAAGCCGTTGTGTTTCTCCGAGTTAAACTTTAATGAAGGGCAAATTAATTACAAATATAAATATCCAACAAATATACGACCTCTTTCCCACAACGAAACTAAGGATAAACTCACTTTAATTAAAATTAAAAATAGCT